GCAATTAAACCAGTTTTTATCCAAAACTTTTTTTTTTTTTTTAATCATTTGAGGACTTGGGTCTTTGAGTTATGTGATTTTTTGGTTGTTGGGAGTTGTCAAATTTCGAAGACTTGATCTTTAATTGAATCTTTTCCTATGTGATCTCATGCTTTAATTTCATGATGCATATTAAATTTAACCCTATATGGTTCTTTTGAGTTTCTTTCCTTATTTATTTAACCATCATTTAGCAAAGGCCTTTACTTTTCCCCTTCCCCACTCATCTATGTAAAATTCAAATATCTTAGAAGTGATCTGTTTGTTTTGTCTGTATTTTATGCTTGTGATAGTGTTAGATCTAACGACTTACAGGTCCAGGATAGTAACCAAGCTGGTGTTTACGAAGATGACTTTTAACGACTTCGAAAAAGCAAAGTGTTGGAGCTAAACTGCTAACTGAATAACCTAGTGAAATGCAATTAGAGGTAGAAATCAACATTGATTCCCTCATTTGAAGGATTTTGAAAAGGGAAAGATGCGAGAAATCCTTTGGTACTAAGAAGCTATATGACCTTCAACTACAATTAGATTCAAGGTCGATGTATATATGTGGAGTTCCATTCCTTTCTCTGAATAATTCCGGAGTTAGATATGGGGGAAGTTGTACTTTGTAAAGTCATGAAATTTAGAATGCGTAGATACAGCCAAAATTTCCTTGGCAAGGGATAAACATAATGCTTAGTGGTAAAGGATGATTTCTTATGAATTTGATGTGTAGTTTCCAGGGATCCTATTTTGCCAATACCTTAGTTTTGACTTTTGAGATATGTACGCTGGATCTTCATGTACTTGAAAGATTAATAACTTAAAAGGAGCCCTATATACTACTTTGGGAGGATAAATGTCCTTTTCTTCCTCTGCATACTATGAGAAAAAAGAAAAAAAAAGGAAATATATGGAATTATACACTTTAATCTCGAATAGAGTTCTCTTTGACAACAACAGGATTTGCTTGACTAGGATCTCTGATGGAAATGTTGGTATTGATTAATTTTAGAAGAAGAAACATAAATTCAGAGTAATGGGATTCCTTGGTGGTTTTTGTGCTCTTATTATGTGTTCTGTAGAAGTTGAGAACCTCTCAAGATTGCTATAATCAAATTATTTTTCATAGCTTAGGGAAGGGGTTTATGATGTAACATGCACATAAATAGGCATATATGACTGGGAGAGAAGCAAGGATTGATTATGTTTGATGATAAGCTTTTCCTTTCAGCATTGGTCTTGCTGTAGTAAATAATGGATTCTGTGTGGCTTGGTTTGACTACTTCAACTGAGACTGAGGGTCTAGTGTAGATTGTGTGCTTTCCCTTGGAACCTACCCCTATTAAAGGTCATCTAGAAAGTTTGGTCACAAATGTATGAAAGCAAGCTTCTATTGGAGCTATCAAAAATCCCTCTATTCTGTTCTGCTCATTACAGCTATACAGAACTCAAGTAAAATCAATCCTGTTCTAGGATATTTCATTTGACAGAATGGGGTATTATTGACCTACATTTCCTTTAAAGATAGGTCTCTCACGACCACCACAAGATTTCTGGTGAATCCCGGTATGCGCCCCTTACTAGCATGCGTTCCATTGGGTATAATTTCCCAACATTTTCACATTATTCTGGTTTTGTGAAGTTTACTTTCTTAATCTTGTGTCATCTTTTTAAAAAGAAAAATATTTATTAGTAATGAGTATGCTGATGTTAGTTCAAGTTCCTACCAACAAATAACAATTTCAGTAAGTAAAAAGTTAGAGGTAGCTGAGATTCTCGATCCATATGGCTAGTTCATGATTTTGAACTCAAACAAGTTTCATCTTTTCTGTTCAAACATTTCCCAGTTCAGGGATCTGGCATGTATTCTGTCTGAGTTCCTCATAGGATCTAGCACCTTAAATAAAATTAATTGTTCTCTTCATTGAGCCAATGAATTCGGAAAATAGCTTAGGTATATATCCCCTTATTAATTACTTTGTTTTGTGTTTTTAATGATGTAGGTATGATTACTCTGGCTATGGACAGTCATCTGGCAAGGTAATTGGCAATAGAATTTTCCTGGAATACTTAACGTAGTCTCTGCATTAAGTGCTCAAGTGCATGAATTGAATTTGATCTCCAAATGCTTTATGCAGCCAAGTGAGCAGAACACTTACGCAGATATTGAAGCTGCATACAAGTGTCTTGAAGAGAGTTATGGCGCAAAGCAGGAAGATATAATCCTTTATGGACAATCTGTTGGAAGTGGTCCCACCGCGGACCTTGCTGCTCGTTTGCCTCGACTTAGAGCAGTTATTTTGCATAGTCCAATCCTGTCAGGCTTAAGGGTCATGTATCCTGTCAAACGCACATATTGGTTTGACATCTATAAGGTAAAATAGCTGTCAATTGATCTAGGCAACTCTTTCATATTATAGCTGTAAGATTCACCTTCCTGTGCCTGGTAAATTATTTTGTGTTTGTTATTTGTTATAAAATAGTACACATTAAAAATCCGTCGCTGAACTTGAATTACTTTTTGTGCTGTGCAGAACATTGACAAGATCCCATTGGTTAAATGTCCTGTCCTGATCATTCATGTAAGTATAAACTTCGTCATGTACTCACCAGTTTTCTACAGTTAATTGTGTGGTTCCTGTGGTAGCAATAAATGAGCTTCTTGAATTAATTAACTGGCAAAATATTGATAGATAATGCAAAACATGCATGGTGAGGCTCTGTGTGATGGGACATTATGGTAGTTTACTAGGAAGAAACTGAGTCTGAAGGACTGTGTTTAACACATTCAAGAGGGAAACAAGAGGTTTTAACAGGAAATAATAAATGGAAAGTCAGGCCAGTACATTACTGGAGTTGCATGAAATGGTTTTTGACTTTTTATACTTCAACCCCGCCAAAATTCTCCACTGGGATGGGAAAAAAAATACTAGTTAACAGGCCACATTTCTTATGAAGTGAAACATGTTTATAGATGAGCAGTTCAATCGATTAATTAACTAGGTGTCAGTCCCCAACTATTTGGGATTAGCCATATGAATCCTCTATATCCATTCTACTCTATTCAAGCTTTATATCATCCGATTTGTCTACTCCCATTTTCTTTATTTTCCCCTTCTTTGCATGTGTGTTGCTCAATAGCTTTATTTGTATGGTCATCTAAAGTAATTAACTTCTGTGGTCTTTACATGAGTCTCTTCATGTTGTGCAGGGCACTTCTGATGAAGTTGTTGACTGCTCCCATGGGAAACAGCTATGGGAGCTATGCCAGGAAAAATATGAACCATTATGGCTCAAAGGGGGAACACATTGTGACTTAGAACTATACCCCGAATACATTAGACATCTGAAGAAGTTTGTATCTACAGTTGAAAAACCACCTTCTCAGAGAAACTTATCAAGAAAAAGTGTTGACAGGCCTGAACAATCACGGAAGAGTACAGACTGTTATGAAGGTCCAAGAAAAAGCACTGATCGGAGAGAGAAACCAAGAAAAAGCACTGATAAGTCGGAAAAGTTGAAAAACTATGAGTACAAGTATGCCAATGATGATAAGCTTTCGAAGTTAAGGATGTCTTATGACCAAGTAGAGAGGTCTAGGAGGAGCGTGGAATTCTTTGAGAAGCCTCGAAGAAGCATCGACCAACAAATGGAAAAAGCACGAAAAAGTGTGGACTGGCTAGATAGAATAAGAGCTGGTTGATATATTGTAAATTTCATGTTCAAGTCAATTGTGGGGGAGTATAATAGTGCAACAACTTAACAATTAATTTATGGTTATCGAGTGTGATTTAGTTAATGTTCAATGGAGCATATCTGTTTTTTTTTCTTTGTGCTTCTTCCTTCTGTTATGAAAAGAACAAATGAGAAATATAGTTTGGCATCTCATTACAGTTTTGAGTTTGATCAAGCTGCATTGCGGAATTTATTAGCAGTAAATCTTCATGTTGAGGGGTTTTGAAGTTTTTGTCCCTAAATAGTAGTAGTAACGAGAAATTCTCAATTGTAGGCCTTTGCTTAATATTGTGGTTTTAACTTGCAACTAGCTAGTTGGGTAACTTGTGGAACTAATTACTTTGTGTTGATGGAAGGACATTTACTCAAGGAAAACATAATTATCGTCTTTGCCCGTGCAGAAGTTGGGGGTAAAGTGACTTCTTCTCATCTGTTTATGCTTTGGTAGGACGAGTTACCCAGTATTTGTGTTATTGGAAAGAATCTGGTACCTTGATGAAGTAGTTGAGAGAAATTGGGAGTGAAAGGTGTGTGATTTGGAGAGGAGGGTATTGCAGCCTTGCAGACACCGTGCATCCCTTTACTGTCTTTTGGAATATTGCACTACTGGTATCTGCAGAAATAGGTACTACACTTTGCACATGAATGTCTCAAATGATATGTTAACCTTTTGGAAGTACATCAAACATGTGAAACTGCCCAGAATTTCTACGGTACGTCTTTCGCTAGAAAAGGAGCAAGAACATCAATAATCATTGGATAAGGATGAATCTCTGTACCTTCTATCCTTTTGTACTAGCATCTCTTCCTCAGTAAGTGTATGTTAAGAGTACTATAAATGAAGAAAACATTCACCAAACAGTTGAGTGTTTAAAACTTCATTTGCTTGTTGTTCTCATCTTATAAAGGTGGTTCATCTCAAGGTAATTTTCTTTTCTTTTCAATATGATAGAGCATATTGTTGTTGTCATGGCTAATACGAGAAATAAGTGAATATATTAAGCTTGTTTGGTTCTCACAATCTTCTTTCGAGTATTTCCATTTGATTATCTGATGAAACATGATATACTTCTACATGGTCTAATTCGTCATATAGTTTGTTCATTTCCTTTATGCTTTCATAAAATGATATAGCTGTATTCTGTACAATTTAGGAAGCGCTCAATGGCGTCTAAGGAGTTAATCCCGTATTTGCCACCACCTCCCAAAGAAATTCCCTCAGGTGTGGTTCCTATGAAAGCTGAACCAGGGAAAGGTTGCGGATCAGTTAGTGAGAGATTGATGCCAAACTTTAACCAGATGAACAGACCTCGTCCGGGGGTCAAGGGAAAGAAGATACATCTGCTGACAAATTATTTTAGAGTATGCTTTCAAGGTGGCATAAGCCAACTATATTCATACAATGTAAGTTCATTTTTTCTTGGTTTGATTACTACGAGGAAGTTAAATTCGCGGAGCTAAATATGACTCTTTTTAACTCGTGAAAGGTTAATGTCCTATATGAAAATGGGGACCCTGTAACTGGAAGCACCTTAATTAGAAAAGTGATTCATAAACTCTGGGAGATATACAGCTCCGAGTTAGGAGAGCAAGCATTTGCTTCTGATGGGCAACAGAGCTTGTTCACAACTAGTCTTTTACCACAGAAGAAGCTAGATTTCCCAGTTGTACTTGATGCTGCAACATCAAAAAGGTATATGAAGTCTTTAAGCATTTCATTCGATCATAGAATGGGTAATATTTCATCTAGCATCATTTATTTCTCTAATATTCTTTCTCTTTTTGCTTTTTGGGATGATTGGCTTCAACTTTAGGTGCAAGACGGATGGCAGCCTTAGTGGCGATGGAGACTTAAGTGAGGGTGATCAAAAGAGGCAGAAGATCATATCCCGATTCAAAACTTTCAGAGTACAGATAAACTTTGTTTCCATCATCCCCTTTAAGACAATGCCTGATGGAAAGCATGGAGTAAAATCAGGAAATAATGAAGTTCTGATAGCATTAGACACCATTTTGCAACACTCTAATGCAAAAAGGTGCATACTGATCCATAAAAAGCTATTTCTAGCTATCAAAACACTCTTGACTTTCTTTCCCTCTTTTGGTCCTCGACAGGAACTGCCTTCTGCTCCGCCAATCGTACTTCCCCAACGAGATGAAGAACTTCATGGACTTGACTGGTGGTATCCTTGGATGCCGAGGTTTTCATTCGAGTTTCCAATCTGTTCAAGGTGGATTATATTTCAACCTTGGTAAGTTAATGCACTTCCCTTTGGGTCCTTGTATTCCTTTCAAAACATTTGGAACAGTTTTAGTGATGCTTTCTACCTAACTTGGACAGATACATCTACTACAACACTTATACAGCCAGGTCCACTAGTTAACTTTTTAATGGCCAACCAAAATGTGGAAACTCCCTTCAAAATCGACTGGACTAAGGTCGCCTCAGCTTAAACACTCTCTTGGATTTGCTGTAACTGTGTGTAATTTTCTAGTTTCTACCTGCTGCAGGCAAAAATCTTGAAAAATCTCAGAATTAAGCTATTACACTCCAATAGAGAACACAAAATCACTGGACTTAGCAACAGGACATGTAAAGAGGAGAAGTAAGCTCTCAGCTTCTAAATTGTTAGATTTATTTGTTCTAGTCTTTAATATCCTATAATTTGTTTCTCTTACCATTATGCTGTTTATTGAACAGGTTTCTTCTGCAGCTGAGGGGATCCAATAATCAAAATGACAATGTCCAGACTGTTGAGACAACTGTTTATGAATATTTTGTTAGGAGACGTGGAATAGAACTCGGTTATTCATCAAACTTGCCATGCATCAATGTGGGAAGCCAGCGCAAAGCCCAGTTCATTCCTGTTGAGGTGTGGTAGCTTTTATTTGCTTCTGTTTTTCTTGTTATCCCAGATTTTGAAAGACACTTGTTCTTGGAAAAATCATGTAATTTCTTGAATATTTCATTAGCTCTGTTCATTGGTTCCCTTACAACGATTCAAAAAGGAATTATCCTTACATCAAAGATCCTTATTAGTGAACAAGTCGAGCCAAAAGCCGATAGAACTCATGAAGCATCTAAACGAGGTAGCTTCACATAATTTTTTTGATTGATCATATTTTCAGAATTTGGTTACACAATGCTGAAACATTTTTCTTGCCTTGATAGGAACTTCAAGCCAACGACTATAACACAGACCCCATGCTGCGCGCTTGTGGAATCTCAATTAATAAATCATATATTGAAGTAGAGGGAAGAGTTATATCTCCTCCACAGGTAGTATATAGTGTGACATCTAACCCCTTTTTCAAAGTTATTATTATTATATTTATATTGACATCAGATAGTTCATAATGGCCTCACTTTTTAGTTGAGAGTGGGAAACAAGGAAAATCTTGCTTCAAGATTTTCGCGCTGGAGCTTTAACGGCAAGGTGATGCACCGCATTTTATCTAATATGTTCATGTTCTGATTGAGGAGGACATCATTAACCTCTCCTGCAGAAGTTTGCAGATCCAAAAAGCATTGAATTTTGGGCTGTGGTGAACTTCTCTACTGGTCATGACATACGTGCTTTCTGCATTGAAATGGCGAAATTGGGTGCAATGAGGGGAATGGTGATATGACTGACTTCTTACAGATATTTGACACACATGCAAACCTTTCTAGTTATTCACTGAATAGTGTATAAATTCGTCTTTGTTGCAGCACATTCATCCACCATCATTTGTTTTCGAAGAGAACACTAAGCATAAAAAAAAACCGGGATCTGTTCGAGTGGACAAGATGTTTGAACAAATAATTCCAAAATTTCGCAAGGATCCTCCTCGATTCCTTCTTTGCTTTCTTCCTGCCAAGTTTTCTAATTTATATGGTTGTAGAAATATATCCAGTCAGATATACTATTTTCACTTTATTGGTATTTGTATGACTCAAATATGGTTTTGACTGTCTTAGGTCCATGGAAGAAAAAGTGTCTTATGACCTTTGGAATTCGTAACCAGTGCATTGCAAAGAACAAAGTTGATGAAACTTATCTTGCTAATGTTATGTTAAAAATTAATGCAAAAGTATGGGACATTAATCACTTCTTTACATATATGTTGATCACTTGTAAAAATTCTAAAAAGTTTGCTTGTCCTGCAGCTTGGTGGTCTGAATTCTATGTTATTAGCTGAAGTTTCACAGACTATTCCCTTAGTTTCTAAAGTTCCCACAATGATCTTAGCAATGGGCGTTACACATGCCCCTTCTTCACGGTCAGATTTACCCTCTGTTGCTGCAGTAAGTCCTATAATTGTAATAGTCTGGTTTGGCAAGGCTATTTTGCACAGTCAAGTTTGCTGTAATTTGATATTAACCTCTCTATATTTATGCATTAGGTGGTCGGTTCTAGACAGTGGCCGATGATTTCTTACTATAGAGCATCTACTTGTATCCAACCACCAAAGACCGAAACTATACATTCTCTCTTTAGACCAGTTTCAGATAGGGAGGACTCAGGCATGATCAGGTAGGGATTCTTCCCTGCACCTTAAAAAATCCTTCATTTTCTGTTTGGTTTGCTTGGACTAATAAGCATAAAGGATGATGAAGTTGGGATTCATATCAGAAGTTTGATTTAGGTCGTATAACGCTTCTTAGACTACATATTTTTGTTTGTGCTAGGGAGCTCCTAATGGATTTTCATGCAAGTTCGGGGAAGAGGAAGCCTGAACAGATTATTATATTCAGGTGCAAAATCTTCTAATATCATTGTTTATTTATTGTCGTGATATTACTTCTTGTTTACATAGATATAGTCCTCGAAATCCTTGAGGAAACCTCGGGGAAGATAATTAGATTTGGCTCATAACATATCTGAATCTCAAAGACTTGTAAAAGGTTTTGCTAATGTAAAGTTTTTCAGACAAGGTTTAAGTGAATCTCAATTCAAGCATGTTATTAGCGAAATGGAGGAAATTATTAAGGTTTGTTCTGTAAACTCATTTGATCAAGGCGTCTATAGATTCTGCCTTGTTTCTCGAGGTTCTTAATCTGCTTTATGGACCATTATAGGCCTGTAAATTCCTAGATGAGACTTGGTCTCCTAAGTTCACTCTTATTGTTGCACAAAGAAGACATCACACAAAGTTGTTCCAAGCTAATTCCAGTGACAATATTCCTCCTGGTGAGCTTTCAACTGCCTACAACTATACTAGTACTAGTAAAACCACCAGTATAGCATTAGATAATTACATTTGAACTCTGCGTTTCTAATGACAGGCACAGTCGTTGATACTAAAATTTGTCATCCGCTGTATAATAACAACTTCTACATATGTGCACATGCGGCAAGAGTTGTAAGTATTTCACTAAAAAAAAACAGTTTTTGGATGAAAAACATGAAGCAACACTTTGTCGTATGCATAGTCCTATCAGGCATTTTTTTGCTTTAGCTTCGTCCTTTATAATGTAGAAAACATAATGCAGGGGACTAGCAGGCCAATTCACTACTTTGTTTTGTTGGATGAAATCGGCTTCTCATCTGATAGTTTGCAGGAACTAGTCCATTGTTTATGTTACGTGTAAGTTCCCCGTGGTTATGCTTGGATTTTACTCAGTTCTTTGAACTTCTCTGATCGTTTCGAATTTGGAAAACATTTTAGGTCTCAGAGATGCACCAGTGCTATATATGAAGGTAAGAACTATAGTCAGTGGCCTGAGTAAAACAGTTTGCTGCTTCTCTTGCATTTCTTTTTCCCAACTTTGATTCTGAATGACTAAGATGTTTTGCAGTGGCTCCGATTCGTTATGCTCGTTTGGTTTCAGCTCAGATGTTAGAAATTATGAAGACTGAGGGGCCTGAACTGCCAATGTTGCACAAAAATGTGCGCGATACAATGTTTTTCTGCTGAAATTCTGTACCATCATCTGCTAAAAAGTGCAGTTTTCTTTGTGTTCAAAATGTACTGTTAACAATTAGGCAAGTCTAAAAGGCATTGGTTACATACAAGATTTTCAGATTTTGTGAACAAATTAAACCTCAGGATGCTACATCAGTATACAAGGAGGATCACTATCTATTTACTGCAAGTCTTCTTTGAAGAAAACCTTATGTTTTTATATTCTTAAATTTCGTGCTCAATTAAATTCAGACACATAAATAAGAAAAAAAGAAAACTAACTATGATTAATTGATGCAAATATATGTGAATAACATATATAATGTAATCATTGATTTGACGTGGAGATCAAGTATAAATAATTTACCTTATGTCCAAGACTCTTCAACACGATTGAATATAAATTATCATGTTGAATATGAATCGTCAGAGATCTTTTTTATGATAAGATAGTAGCGCCAAAAACTCAAATTATTATTAGAATAATTATCCTAAAAAGAATATATTAAATAGTTTCCGGGAACATGCGTTGCACGTTTGCCCCTTATTATTATTATTATTATTTTATTTATTTATTTAAAAAGTGAGTTATAAGATAGAAAATGTTGAAATTAACAATATTAATTTTATCATTTAGATTTTATTCATTAAGAAAAATAATAAATAAGAATGGTGTATTTTCCATCAATATGTGAAACTAATTAAGATAATACAATCTCTAATGAAAGGAATATGTCGATGAATTTCTGATTGAAAAATAATAATAAATGCATATAATGCCTTTAATGAAATAAACAAGGCACAAAACAAATTTATCATAAATATAAATCGCAATTACATATTCTGCATACTACAACAAAAAAAGACCCTAAAATTTGTATCAAACAAATGACTATATTTTTCTGTACATCAAAGTTGAACGATAATACGATAAGATTGCCTTGAGAGTGCAATGACTTGTGATAAGACCACCGGTTTACATATGAGTATATTTTATTGTTTTTATAAAATATAGCACTATCTCTGACCATTGATGAAACATAGCTATTGGTGATATGATGTTAAAGTATTATGAAAAATTCAACACTCTATTCGAACAGTAAAAATAAATTAATATCTTTTAGTTTCCAAATTCAATTTTTAATAAACAGAAAATAAATTGACAATAAAAAAAATCTTTTAGTTTCCAAATTCAATTTTTAATAAACAGAAAATAAATTGACAATAAAAAAAAGATGGATCAATAATAATATTATAAACATGTTTGTGATGAGTAATGCATAATTTGAAGGAAATGTAAATTTATTTTTCTATTTATAAACAGATCAATTAATCTATTTATTGTAATTGAAATGTGAATTTATTTTTCGGGTAATTAAAATATATTATTCTTTTTTTTATATAATGTTATATAAATTTAAATAATGTTCAATTGAAGGGCAAATTGGTAATCTAACTTTAAATTAAGGGGATTTCAACTTTTAATATAATATATATATAGGATATATGATGATATGACATATGATATATGATATGATGATGATTAGTATGTCTTATTTCTATAGAAAATTTTAATACATTTTAAATAGTACATAGTAGTTTTATACTTCAAAAAAAAAAAAAGATCTCATTACCATCATCTAATTCAAAAGGTTTGTTAGAAAAAGAAAGTAAAAGGAGAAGGCAAACCTATGAGGAAGAAAGACTTTTTACGGTTTAATTCCACGTTGCATCAGACATCGTGCCTTATATAGGCTTACAATTTAACAAATAAAGTTAAAAAATAGAAACTAAAAAGTAGTGGTAAAATACAGGTAAAACATTGAAAATATGCCACACTAATATAGCTAAAATAGTAAACATGAAATACATAAATTGACTAAGGGGTTGTTTATAATGTAAATATTAGCTCTGTATATTAATTGTTCTTTATTTGGTACTCTTTTTCAGGCTATGTATAACTAATATTTGTATTAGTTATATACTCTATTGTGTATTGAGGATTGTATTACTAATATCATGAATATCTATATATTGATTTATATTTTTTCAAATTACTATATTTAAATTGAATCGATCATAAAAACTAAAAGTATGAAATTTCTACAAACATCGTGAAATGTATATTTGATAAAAAGATTAATATATAAATAAAATGTCATAAATTATTAAAATGTTTGACAAAAAAATAATCTATAAAGTCTAATTAAAACATGACTTGCAATGTGAATTAAATATTACTAAAACAAATAAAACTGAAAATATAAATTCAGAACAAAAAATTTAACATAATACTCTTATCACAAATTTCAACATAGCATACATAAATATAATTTATTTTTATTTTTTAAAAAAAGAAAATGTAAGTCTATAACATTACTTAACAATAAATTCTATTTTAATTTAAAAATTAGAATACTAATAAAATTATGCTAATGAGAAAATAAGCATGGAATAAAGAAATAGATAATACGAAAAAATTACATAAAATCACGTGAGGTAAGATTGAGAATGAGAAGAAAATGAAATATAATAATAAAAAATAAAAAATAAACTTTTAGAAAAATAAAAAAAAACTTAAAATAATAGAAATAAAAAGAAGAATTTAAAAAGTAATTAGCTGGTAAACAATTCACAGTCTCTCCCTGTGAATTAGAGAGCATAATTAGCCCTGCCAATTACACCAATTGCCTGTTGACCAAGTAATTATCTCTTCAACCAAATATGACAGACAATGTAATTACACCAAATCGAATTACCAAGATGTCCTTTCAAACAGGCCCTAAAGGATATTTTGGTACATTTGACATAATTTTAATTTAGAACTATAAGATTAAAAAGTCTTTTTTAAAAAAATAAAATTTTGTTTCAAGTCAAACTAAACAATTCTTATAATTTAATTGTGTTTACAAAAGTCTAGCAAGTGGTTGATTAACAGCAAGGTTTTGAAACAAGAAAATAATTCAAATAGACGTGGCCTGATTTTGGTGGCTGACAAAAAGATGAAGTTCAGCTAATGACTCTGACGAACTAGAGTGTGTGATTCGGCTATTGCTCAAATATGTAAGTTATACTAAACAAACATATTAATCTTGAGTTTTTTCCAATATCCAGAACTGATTTTGTTCGATTTCAGTTGAATTTTGAAGATTTTTTTTTGTTTTTTTTTGTGTTAGGGCATACAAAGAAGTTGCAATAGAAGCAATAGAACATGCTCTAAAGGCCCTAAGAAATCGGCATTTAGTGGAAGAAGGGGCTTATGCCCCTGTTTTGGCTGCTTTCAATAGGTCTCCCATTTTGCAGGTGCTCTTCTATTCTCCATAGTTCTCTTTTTTTTTTTACTTTTCGAGTTCGTAATTTGGTTGATTTAGTTTTTTCTGTGCGTTGAAAGTAGCAGGTTCAGATGAACCTGGTGACCGTACGCCACATACATCCGCTTTTGACTGTGTCGGTGGAATTGCATTAAGTTTTTTTTGTTCACAGTCGTTCATAATTAGGCATGCACATTAGTTGATTTCCCTGGTTTTATGTCTGAGCGGGATCATGATTCATCACAGAATTCCAAAATTTTCAACTTAGATGTATATTTCATCTGTTGTTTTATGTGATCTTGTATCGATCTAACGAACATGAATTCACTTCCCCGAAATTTCCCAAATGTGAGCTTTAAACAATAATGTATTCTGCTTAACTGGCGCTGGAAAACAACTTGCTTTTGGTAGGGTTTAAAGACCAAGTTACTCGTGGATGGACTTTGTTCCCCAAAAAGTTATGGGCATCACCTCCTTGTTGGCAATAAAACAAGAAAAAAATGAGAAATTAAAAAATAGAAAAATGAACATTTAGGGTGTGTTTGGTATGAAAGGAAAATATTTTCCATCAAAAATTTTTTTTTTTTTTTTTTGGAAAATAAGTTGGTTTCTAACTTATTTTCGTATGTTTGGTTGGTGAGGGAATTTTCCGAAAAAATATGTTCTTGTGTATGATTGGTGTATGAAAAACATTCTTTAGAAAATATCTTTTATTTTAGACTATAGAGTAAAAAATACCTTTTAGGAAAATAGGTTCTGATGTGAAAACCAAGCCAATAATCGATCCGGCACCTCAGGATCGAAACACGGTCCCAAGACCCAACCCAGGACCTAACCCCGTCTCCTGACCCGAGTCCGACATTCAGACTGAAATATGATCCTGAGACTCGACCAGAGACCCAACCTTGACTCCCGACCCCAACATCCAACTCAGGATACAACTTTTGAATCGAAATCCAACCCCAAGACCCGACTCGAGACTTGACCCCGACTCCCGACCCAAACATCCGATTCAGGATCCAACTTATGAATTGGGATCTGACCCCGAGACCCGACCTGACCCCAACCTTGAATTGAGACCCCGATCCCGACCCAAAATTTGACCTCCAATCCTAACTCGAGATCTGACCCTGACTCAATCTAAAACTCGGGAACTAGGTTTCGAATCGAGGTCGAGAGTTGGGTCTCGAATTGAGAATCAAGAGTTCGGATCCAGGATTAGTATCGGGAATTGATAGGTGAAACTTAAGTTAGGATGGAAAGTTGAAGAGTGAGGTTCAAAATGATTTTGGAAAATGCTTTCCTAGTTTTTTTGTTTTTTTAAGAGATGTCATTTTTCCTTAAATTTGAGGAAAAAAAGTTGATTTGAAAAACATTTTCCAAAACATTTACGCCAACCAAACATGAGAAAATTGGAAACCTTTTCTAGAAAACATTTTCCTTCGTACCAAACACACCCTTAGTGACCATTGATATTTATGTAAAGAGAGAAAAGAAGATAGAGAAACTCTTGTTGAGTTGAGTGATTAACGACCTACATGAGAGTTCTTTGTATATGAGTTGGAGCAAATAAATAAGACAGCTTCCCTAGTTCTTCTGATTCTTAATAATTGTAAGATAATGAAAAATCTCTTTGTAATGTTGTTAATGGTTTTCTTGACTTTTAATATGTTCCCTCAAAGAATCTAATCCAGTCATGAGATTTTGCACTGCATGAGACTGACTTGGCGATGGCGCAATTGCACATACATCAGAAATGACTGGATTTGAGGTGCATGCTACCAGGTTGACGACAAAGACTATCATGCTGTCAGCGTAACCAGATCATGTTCAATTCATAGTGCTGACTAAATGATATGATGCTGATTGGGCAAATGTGAGCCATTAATTTGACAGCATAAACTGCTAACTTGAAACCTCAGCAACATGAACGGAGGACTTCAGGGCCACAATTTCACCTTTTCATTCATCTTAACTAGATTAAGCTCCGGAAGATAGAACTTGATACAAAGTGAAACAAGAAAAAGAAAAAACTGTTGTTAAATGGAGTGTTACAACATATAAGAGGATTCTATATGTAGGAGCTTTGAGCTAATCAAATAAGGAAAGTTTTCTAATTCTGTGAGTTCCTTTTGTTAGGACATGATAGTGGAAAATGTTTTACTGAGTATTCTTGTCAACTCTCTTGACTTTCAACAAACGTAATTGTAAGAATGTTTTGTGATATATTTAATATTTCTCTTGGCTTTTAAGCAGTTCATATTTTGTAGTTTTTTCCAGGTAGTGAGTCACTTGGCATGCATGATGTAGAGTTTACTTATTGCCAATAATATCGTGCTTAAGGAATGAGATGCAGGTTAAACTGACCAACTGCAGCTTTCTACATAGAAATTTTAGTTACCGGTGAATGTGGAATTGTTTGCACTCAGTCACTTCTCTTCTAACTATGCGTTGCTGAGAAAGTTATCCGTGTGCTTATGTAGTTCCTGTGATTTTAGGGTTCAGAGTGGAAAGAGAAAGCTGAAAATCTTGAAGTGGAACTTCAACAATGTCACAAAGCTCAAGCACTACTGTCAGAGCAGCTTGTGGTGACAGTAGCTGAATCCAGAGCATCAAAATCTTTACTTCAGGAGAAGGAAACTCTCATTACTGACCTTCAAAATGAGCTAAATCAAGCAAGGTGTTATTCTCATCCTCCTAAAACATTTGATGTCCTAAATTACACTCTTCCCTTTGCGACAAAAAAGAAGCACGTGAAAAGTAATAAAAGGACAGAAATAAAGGAATACACTAGGGATTGCTTAGAATTATGATCCTTACCAAAAGGTGATTCTGTTTCAAGCTTCTGAATGAACTATCATGTTTAAGATTATAAAATAGTATCTTAGTTTCCCAATTTAACAAATAAAGTTTACTTTTGATGTCCTAAGATGAGCTCAACTGTTTTACTTTGGTTGCCAGGATGGAGTTTAACTGCTCAATTCTTTCATTGATGAGTGTGCTGCAGGGATGAATGTTCACGTTTAACTGAACTTCTTGAGGAAAAGAGTAAATCTTTGGAATTGATTATGTCCAAGCATCAGGAGCTTAAGGCACAACGTGAAGCTGTTACTCGGAGGGCAGAAACTAAAATATTGGTTGACCGATGGTGGCTGCAGAAGATGCAGGATGCTGAGCGCCTTAACGAGGTATTGAGTAATTCTTGCTCTTTATCCTTTTGTGTGCTTTGCTATTTGTGGTTCTTTAACATTTTGAACCTCTGACTTTTCATACAAATTGAGTGTTCATCACACTTCGTTACTGTTAGAGAGCTAAGATGCATATTTCTGTTGCAGTAATAAACTGTACTTTAATTAATAATGTATCACCAATTCAAGAAGCCTTATTTTGGCTTCTCGTCATGGAGATTTCTCTACACTTAATATAACCCTCAACCTGTTCAGTTGTTCTTATATCCTTCAACTACTGTCCCTGTTACCCATCCATGTGGCACATTCTTTTTTTTATGATGGTGGTGTTTGTGCCGGCTTGTGCATACCTCGACTACTCCACTAGTATCTGGTACCTCCCACCAGCATAGGTACCGAATAACTCTATCCATCAAGGCTTAGGTAGATGGGAGAAATAATCTAGAGTGTTTATCACTACTGGGATTTGGAACTCCATGCGGTTTTCACTCACTTCATTGACCACTAGGTGACACTCTTGGATGCTATCCATGTGGCATACTCTATCCATTTTAAGACTTCAATGATGAAGAACTACTACTACCAAGAAGGGGAAAAATGAAAAATAAAATGATAAAGAACTATGCTAATATTTTAAGTATAATCTAGCCTTTACGTTTTGGACAGATGAATGACATAAAGCCACCATAAGATAAAGGAGTATCATATCTTATGAGTGCTCAAATATTAACAACTTGTGGTTCTCTAAATATTTGGGTAAGTAAGCGCACATACTGAAACTCCAGATGCTTGACATTTTACTTTCCGTCATGCTGGAGTGGCTGGTGGTGATCGGTGTAGGATTTTATTACTGGGGTATCTCCAATATCTTCGTCTCATAATAACTATTTCATGTCAGTATTATGCAAAATTTCTGAGATCTGGAAATGAACTGTTAGTAAGGGTTATTATTGGTTTGTCGACATGTATTTATTCAATGAATGGTAGATGCATCTTTTGCCTTTTTATTAACAGGACTTAGTGACTGTTTGGTAGTAGTTCTCCATGCTAAAACTTTTAATCATGTTGTTCTGCCACCAAAACGAGGAGGCGAGCTCCATCTCTTAACAAGTTATTCTACAGCAAATCTACCCTGTAATCTGAACAAAATTCAAATCTTTGACAAGTTTGGCTAATCCAAAGGAACTGCCAATGATCATTTATTCAATTCTCCTAATAGAATAATAGGGTTAGCCGGTTAGGGGCACTATATTTTCAGTCAGTATTTTTTATATGTTTTACAATGATTTACCCATGATAGGTTCTCTTGCATTTTCTTATTTGTTATTTTTTGTGTTGCTAGTCTAATGCTCTCTATGAAAATATGCTTGATAAGTTCAAGATCGCCAGTATAAAGAAACTTCCTCGTCCACAAGTGGACGGTGTGGTCCCCCAAAGTGAAGATGCTGCAGAAGCTTACTTTGAGTCTTCCATTCCTAGTACATGCTGGCAAAGGATCCCCGCCCATGATGGTGGATGTACCTCGATTCTTTTTGATTATAAGTCCAGTAAATTGATAAGCGGTGGGCAGGATCGGGAAGTTAAAATTTGGGATACTAGAAGTGGAACATTAAGTAACATTCTTTATGGTTGTCAGGGTTCGGTCCTTGATCTTTCCATTACACATGATAACATCATAGCAGCAAGTAGTTCAAATGCCTTGTATGTGTGGAATGCAAATTCAGGCAGGATAGACCATATTCTTAATGGGCACAGCAACAAGGTTTGTGCAGTTGATGTGAGCAGACCTTCAAGTCGCTATGTGGTGAGTGCTGCATATGATCGCACAATAAAAGTTTGGGATCTGCAGACGGGTTACTGTAACAACACTATCATATTTCACAGTAACTGTAACAGCCTTTCGTTAAGCACGGATGGACTGACTCTCTGTTCCGGTCATGTTAATGGTAATCTTAGATTATGGGATGTTAAAACAGGCAAGCTTCTGAGTGAAGTTGCTGCACATTCAAAGGCTGTTACATCAGTTTCACTCTCTCGGAATGGAAACATGATATTAACCAGTGGGAGAGACAACTTGCACAATCTATTCGATATACGCACCCTTGAAATTTGTAGCACTTTCAAATCAAATGCAAATCGAGTTGGATCTGATTGGAGCCGATCCTGTATTAGTGCTGATGACGGTTATGTTACTGCAGGTTCTGTTGATGGATCTGTTCATATTTGGTCAATATCAAACGGTAAAATGGTAAGAACATTGAAAGAACACACATCCTCTGTACTTAGTTGTTCATGGGGTGGTTTTGGTGATCCTTTGGCCACCTCAGATAAGAGTGGAACCATATGTATTTGGTCATGATATCAGTTCAAAGATTGCTCAGTAATTGAGATTTCAGTGAGGATCACGAGTGTCATTGTTGATTTTAGTTTTCTTAAAGCACAAAGTTGGTCATCATAGTGATTGTGAAGCCATAAATGAGCATCGTCCATATATAAACGTCATGCCAAAAGGGGCTGACATTGTAATATTAAGCTTTTAAGCTGATTTTTTTAGATATCTTTTGTTGATATTGATTGGATTGTGGATATATGAACTGTTAGTTTTTTGTGGAAAAATAAAGTGGTCTTTCGTGGTGATAATTTTCATGTGTATGTATATTCGTGCTCACAAGTTTGGGTCTTGAATAATCAAATATTCTCTCTATCCCAAAATAAATTTTTTTAAAAATTATCTCAAAATAAGTGTCCCATTAAGAAATCAAGACTATAAGGGGTTGTTTGGCTAGGAACAAGTTATTTTAGGGTTAATTATCTTGGAATAAGTTATCCCACTAGGTATATGGAATAATTTATCTGATACAAATGGTGGGATACTTTTAAGTAGTACTCTCTCCGTCTATTTTTACTCGTGCACTATACCAAAAATAGTTGTCAAATTTAGAAAACTAAGAAATAATTTATCATTTTATAAACCCTAAACCCTAAACTCTTCTATTCTACCCTTAATATTAAATATTATTCAATATCTAATATATTTTTCAAAGTATCAAATTTAATATATTTAATGAGCAATATAATAATATTATCTTATTAATTAATGGGTCAAATATGATCTCTCTGGAAACAAAATTGATTAGATCGCTATAAAACGGGGCACACGACCCGGCCCGACCAAAAAACCAAGGTCAGCTGCTACAGGAAAAATAAATTCATAATTAGCTCCTTACGAATCTGAATTTCGCAAATTGTGTGTGTGATTCGGCAAATTTATCAAATATGTAAGTTGTAAACATATTAATCTTAAGGTTCTTTCAATATCCAAAACTGATTTTGTTCGATTTCATTTGAATTTTGAATTTTGAAGATTGTTTTTTGTTTTTGTGTTAGGGCATACGAAGAAGTTGCTATAGAAGCAATCAAGCATGCTTTAAAGGCCCTAAGAAAGCGGCATTTAGTGGAAGAAGGGGCTCATGCCCCTGCTTTGGCTGCCCTCAATAGGCCTTTCGTTTTGCAGGTGCCCTTCTATTCTCCCTTGTTGCTTTTTTTTTTTTTGTTCTTTTTCGAGTTGGTAATTTGGTTATTTATTTTTTTCTATTATGTTTTATGACTTTATTGAGTAATGATTACTTTAAAAAAAGCAATTATTGAGCTGTGCGGAAAGGATCTGCAAGAAGTTACCCAACATTAATGAACGTTTTGTATCCAATTTGGCATTTTCATCTGTGTTTTGTTTGTTTGACATGAAAATTACAAGTGCATATCATGTCTAGAGGTGGTTCCGAGATTTAAGTTTAAATGTTCTAAATTTAAGATTCTGAGGATTGAACCTTATTTTATCTTTGAAGTTATAGGTTCGTATCTACTATTTGTTGCAATTTTCATGGAAATTCGTATATAAATTTATTCAATGCGTTGAAAGGACCATATGCTACATACATCCGCCTCTGACCATATCGGTAGAATTTCATTAAGTTTTTTTTTATCACAGTCGTTCATAGTTAGGCTTGCACATTAGTTGATTTCCCTGGTTTTATGTCTGAGTGGGATCATGGCAGACTTCCAAAATTTTCAATTTAGATGTATCTTTCATCTGTTGTTTTCTGTGATCTTGTATCGATCTTACTGATTGAACGAACATGAGTTCATTTACCCGAAACTTCCCAAGTTTGAGCTTTAAAAAATCATGTATTCTACTTACACTGGCGCTTGAAAACAACTTGCTTTTGGTAGTGTTTAAAGACCAAGTTACATGTGGATGGACCTTGTTCCCCAATCAGTTATAGGCACCAGCTCCTTGTTGACAATAAAACAAAATTAAATGAGAAGTTAAAAAATTGAAATGAACATATAGTGACCATTAATGTTTATGTAAAGAGAGAAAAGAAGATAGAGAAACTATTGTGAGTTGAGTGATTAATGACATACATGAGAGCTCTTTGTATATGAGTTTGAGCATATAAATAATACAACTTCCCTACTTCTTCTGATTCTTAATTATCGTAAGATAACAAAAGATCTCTATGTAATGTTCTTTATGATTTTCTTAACTATGTTCCCTCAAAGAAACTAATTTAGTCATGAGTCAAACTGATTTTGCACTGCATGAGACTGAACTGCTAACTTGAAACCTCAACTCCATGAGCGGAGGACTTCAGGGCCATGGTTTCACCTTTTCAATCATTTTAACGAGATTAATCTCTGGAAGACAGAATTTGATACCAAGTGAAACAAGAAAAGAGAAAAATGTAGTTAAATAGAGTGTTAACAACATAAAAGAGGATTCTATATATAGGAGCTTTGAGCTAATCAAATAAGGGAAGTTTTCTTTGTGTTCCTTTTGTTAGAACATGATAATGGAAAATGTTTTACGGAGTATTCTTGTCAGCTCTCTTGACTTTCAAGATCACTTGGTATGCATGATGTAGAATTTACTTATCGCCCTTAAATCGTGCTTAAGGAATGAGATGCAAGTTGAACTTACCAACTGCAGCTTTCTACATAGAAATTTTAACTACAACCTGTGCATGTGGAATTTTTTGCACTCAGTCACTTCTCTTGTAGCTATACGTTGCTGATAAAGTTGTCCGCGTGCTTATGTTGTCCCTATGGTTTTAGGGTTCAGAGTGGAAAGAGAAAGCTGAAAATCTTGAAGTGGAACTTCAACAATGTTACAAAGCTCAAGCACGACTGTCAGAGCAGCTTGTGGTGGAAGTAGCTGAATCCAGAGCATCAAAATCTTTACTTCAGGAGAAGGAAACTCTCATTACTGACCTTCAAAATGAGCTAAATCAAGCAAGGTGTTATTCTCATCCTTCTAAAACATTTGATGTCCTAAATTACACTCTTCCCTTTGCGACAAAAAAGAAGCACGTGAAAAGTAATAAAAGGACAGAAATAAAGGAATACACTAGGGATTGCTTAGAATTAGCTGGACAAAAACTTCAGTAATATGATCCTTAGCAAAAGTTGATTCAGTTTCAAGCTTCTGAATGAACTTTCATGTTTAAGATTATAAAATAGTATCTTAGTTTCCCAATTTAACAAATTAAGTTTACTTTGGATGTCCTAAGATGCGCTCAACTGTTTTACTTTGGTTGCCAGGATGGAGTATAACTGCTCAATTACTTTCATTGATGAGTGTGCTGCAGGGATGAATGTTCACATTTAACTGAACTTCTTGGGGAAAAGACTAAAGCTTTGGAATTGCTTATGGCTGAGCACCAGGACCTTAAAGCACAACTTGAAGCAATGACTCTGAGAGCAAACAATGCTGAGGCAGAAAATAAAACGTTGGTTGACCGATGGATGCTGCAGAAGATGCAGGATGCTGAGCGCCTTAACGAGGTATTGAGTAATTCTCGCTGTTTATCCTTTATGTGCTTTGCTATTTGTGGTTCTTTAATATTTTGAACCTCTGATTGTTCATACAAATTGAGTGTGCGTTAGAGAGCTAAGATGCATATTCTGTTGCAGTAATAAATTGTACTTTAATTACTAATGTATCCCAAATTGAAGAAGCCTGCATTTATTTAGGCTTGTTGTCATGGAGATTTCTCTACACTTAATATAATCCTCAACCTGTTAAGTTGTTCTTATATCCTTCAACTACTGTCCCCGTTACCCATCCATGTGGCACATTCTTTCTTTGATGATGGTGGTTTTTGTGCCAGCTTTTGCATACCTCGACTACTCCACTAGTATATAGTACCTCCCACTAGCACAGGTACCGAATAACTCTATCCATCAAGGCTTAAGTAGATGGGAGAAATAATCTAGAGTGTTTATCACTACTAGGATTTGAACTTGTCATGTGGTTTTCACTCACTTCATTGACCACTAGACCACACTCTTGGATGCTATCCATGTGGCACGCTCTATCTTTTTAAGACTTCAATGATAAAAAACTACTGCTGAATAAGGGGAAAAAATGATAAAGAACTACGCTAACTTTAGAAGCTTATATTTTAGTATAATCTACTGCCTTTGGGATGTGGACAGATGAATGATATAAGCCACCCTAAGATAAAGGAGTATCATATTTTATGATTGCTCAAATATTAACAACTTGTGGTTCTCTAAATATTTGGGAAAGAAAGCGCCCATACTGAAACTACAGATGCTCAATATTTTACTTTCCCTCATGCTGGAGTGGCTGGTGTTGATCGGTGTAGGACTTCATTACTTGGGTATCTCCAGTATCTTCGTCTCATAATACTAATTTCATGTCGGTATAATGTAAAGTTTCTGAGATCTGGAAATGAACTGTTAATGAGGGTTATTATTGGTTTGTCAACATGTATCTTTTGCCTTTTAATTAGTGGTGGCAAATGGGCGGGTTGGGTCAAATTTGGGCGGGTTGAAAATGGGTCAACACAAAATGGGTAAAAATTCAACCTGGCCATATTTGATATGAGTATAAATGGGTTGGGTAAAATACTAGTTTACCCATATTTACCCATATTTTCATATATAAATAGTACTTTACTTAAGAATTCAATATGGAGAAAATATTTTAGTCTTTTTTTAGGTGAAAAATGTTGAAAATGCTTCATTTTGTTTTATTGTATCATAAAAATAAAATAAAAAATCCTATTAACTTTTCAATATAAAATAAATTTATTACAATAACAAGGGGAAAATATTTTTTATTTCAAAGTAAATGAATATTTGCATTTTAGGACTAAAACATGCTTAATGCACTTTAAGTAATGTCAATACTAATACATGATTTGCTTATTTTACACTATTATTTATTATCCAATATAAAATTAAAGAAATAAAAAAAATATAATTATAATTAACAAAAGAAATGTACATTTAAAATATATATTTTTGGAGGGTCAAATACTTCACCTTTTCAATTATAGAGAAGAAAATAATAGTTTTATAGAATAGAATAACAGAAAAATGAAGAGAAGTTACACTATTTTTAGTGATATTATGAATTTTGAGTGAATAAAAGTTAGAAGCTTAACCCATTTGGCTAATCCATATTTTACCCATATTTTTATGGGTTGAATATGGGTATCAACCCATATAAAAAATCACTCATCCA